TTTTTTGAGGAATCTCCATATTGTTTTCCATAGTGACTGCACCATTTCACATACCCGCCAACAGTGCATAAGTATTCCTATTTCTCCACATCCTTGTCAACACTTGTTTTCTGCTCTTTTTATAGCAGCCATCCTAATGGGTGTGAGGTGGTGTCTCGTGGTTTTGGTTTGAGCTTCTCGAATGATTAGTGATGTTGAGCATCATTTCATATGTTTGCTGGCCATTTGTATATCTTCTTTGGAGAACTTTCTATTCAAATCTTTTGCCCATTTTTATTTATTTATTTATTAAAGATTTTATTTATTTATTTGACAGAGAGAGAGAGAAAGCACAAGCAGGCAGAGCGGCAGGTAGAGGGAGAGGGAGGCTCTCGGCTGAGCAGGGAGCCCGACGCGGGACTCGATCCCAGGACCCTGGGATCATGACCTGAGCTGAAGGCAGCCGCTTAACCAACTGAGCCACCCAGGACCCTCCTTTTGCCCATTTTTAAATCAGACTATTTGTGGAGCACCTGAGTGACTCAGTCGGCTAAGCGTCCAACTCTTGATTTCAGCTCAGTTCATGTTCTCAGAGTTGTGAGACTGAGCCCTGCATCAGGCTCTGTGCTGGGCATGGAGCCTGCTTAAGAATCTCTCTCTTCCTCTCCCTCTACCCCTCCTTCCTACACCATCCCCACTCCTGCTCGCATGTGCACACTGTCTGTCTCTCTAAAAGAAAGAAAGAAAGAAAGAAAGAAGGAAAGAAAGAAAGAAAGAAAGAAAGAAAGAAAAGAAAGAAAAAAGAAAGAAAGAAAGAAAAGAGAAAAGAAAAGAAAAAAGAAAAAATATCTAAGCATTTTAAGGCCCTGGAAACACTGCCATTTTCTTTTCCAGAAAAAATAATCCAATTTACACTCCCACCAGAAGAATATGAAAATGTATCTCATCATACTCTCATTATTACTGAATACCATCATTTTGTAATCTTTGCTAATGTGTTAATTGGAAAATGGCATCACATTGTCACACCAATTAGTATTTTTTTCAATTGCTTGTGAAGCAGAACATTTTTTTTTTTTAAGTAGGCTCCACGCCTAGCTTGGAGCCCAATGTGGGGCTTGAACTTACGACCCTGACATCAAGACCTGAGCTGAGACCAAGAATCGGACACTTGGGGCCCTTGGGTGGCTCAATCAGTTAAGCTTTTGACTCTTGCTTTCAGCTCAAGTCATGATCTCAGGGGTCCTAAGATCGAGCCTGGATCAAGCTCCCTGCTCAGCAGGGAGTTGGCTTGAAGATTTTCTCCCTCTGTCTGTCTCCCAAGTTGCGTGGCACTCTCTCTCTCTCAAATAAAAAAAAAAAAAAAGAAGAGTTGGACACTTAACCAATTGAGCCATCCAGGTGACCCAGAACACTTTTTTGATATGTTTATAGGCCAATGTTTTCTTGTTTGAAAACTAATAATTACTTTTGACAATTTAACTATAATAATGATTATAATAATATATTTATCCATTTTTAAACAAATATTTATCAAGTATCGACTATGTGCCAAACACACTTCTAACTGCTGGGGATGGAATGTAAACTCCATGAGGAAGAAGGACGTTAAAAAAAAAATGAAGAGGTAAGTTAGTTAGGATGTTAGAGGGTAATAAAAACTATGGAGAAAAATGAACCAGGGACAGGTGAATTTAGGACAGAGAGAACAAGATACAGTTTAAAATTGGGTGGTCAGGTAAGTATTTATCAAGCAGGTGACATTTGAGCAAGGACATTCGGGGACACACAGAGCAGGACCCTATAATTGGTGAGCATATATAACTCGTCATCCAAATTGGGACATTTTTAGAGTGAAAAGTTATTGTTGGGGGGTTAATAATCACCCTAGGCTCATAGATAGAAACTGTGACTGTTCTGGGAAAACTGGGACATGTGATCATCCTATGTATAGACTATTGTAAAGACTTCAACTTTTCAAAAACCTGACTGAAGTGGGATGAAACTCATGTAAGTGAAAGCACATGCTGTGGGACCAGAAAGGGGGAAGAAGCACACCTGAGATGGGGAGCTATTGGAAGGTTTTGAGTGGAAAAGTGACATGGTCTCATTTAGATAACCAGGCTGCTGTGCTGAGGATAGACTCAGGGCAGGGAAGGAGCTGAATTAGGAGGAGGGACTGGTTCAGAAGCTAACAGAATCCATGCAAGACACTAGATTCTAGAACGTGCAGTGTCAGGTTGGCTGCCAGTCGGAGACTGCTATTCTTAAGCGAGTGCAGGATGTTGTTTTTAAAACTCAGGAATGTATCTTGAATTTAATCAAATGCTCTTTTGACATGTGTTGATCTACTTGGTCTTTGAACTACCAAAGAGATAATCATCTGTGTATTTGTTGCCTTTACAGAAACAGATTTTAAAAAGTCATCTCTTAATATTTTAAAATATAAAATGCCAGTACAAACAGCAGTGAAAGGTAATTATCACAACCTTACTTTTTATATCTAGAAAAAGCTTTAAGAGCATTTTGCATATAGGCATTTAAAAATTTTGATGTCTATGTATCAAACAAACATTTTCACCAAACTGGAGTTACAAAGTTTCTTAACTAAAAAATATTTATCAATGCTTGTTAAATGCAAGAAAGCACTATGCTAAACAGATCTATAGAGGATAAAAAGAGAAACAAGATAAGGTCCCTAGCTTCCCAGAACTTAGGGGGGTGTGGGGGCAACAAGACAAGAGCCCAGCTCAGTGAGGGTTAACAAGAACCTGAAGAACACAGAGGGAACAGCCACTGCGGGGGGGGGGGGGGGTGCGCGGTTCGAGAAGAGCTTGTTGGGAGGCAGCATGACCTGCTGTCTGTGGGATAGGCTGCCCAGTGCTTAGCAAGGTCGATGGAAAGGTGATCCAGACAGGCTGCATCCATGGGGGAGATAAAAGCACTGGGTGGATGAAGCTATGCACCTGTGTCGCCAATGACAAAACATAAATTATTCTAGGATAGTCTGGTGGATTTTATTTATTTATTTATTTATTTTTATTTAATATTTTAAAATTTTTTTGAAGATTTTATTTATTTATTTGAGAGAGAGAGACAGCGAGAGAGGGAACACAAGCAGGGGGAGTGGTAGAGGGAGAAGCAGGCCTTCTGCTGAGCTGGGAGCCTGATGTGAGGCTCCACCCCAGGACCTTGAGATCATGACCCGAGCCGAAGGCAGTCGCTCAACCAACTGAGCCACCCAGGCACCCCTTTATTATTTTTTTTAAATTTTATTTATTTGAGGGGGTGGGCAAGCACAAGCAGGGGGAGTGGCAGGCAGGGGAGAAGCAGGCTCCCCGCTGAGCAGGGAGCCCAACATGGGACTCGATCCCAGGACCCTGGGATCATGACCTGCGCTGAAGGCAGATGCTTAATCGACTGAGCCACCCAGGCACCCCTCTGGCGGATTTTAAAGTAACAATCAAAAGGTAGCATCAGTGTGTCAGGAGGATATAAAATATGTTAGAAATATGGCTATAGAGAGAAAAAAAATTGAGGGTTAATTAGAAAAGTTCAAGATAAGGAACTTGAAATAATAAGGACGACTTATCAAAAATGTTACATCCAAGTTTCCTCTAAAAAACAGTTAGTGAAAATTTACATTTGGGGATAATTGTTTTTCGGAGCTGATGCCATCAGGTATCGTATGAAAACCAGTGGCTACCTGTTTTCACGCGCACAGTATAGCGCTGGGTATAGGGAAGGGTCCGGAGCTTACAACTGTGCTGTGGTCAGAGGCCACTTTCAGCGAAAGCATGTTGCCCAGGTGTCCAGGAGTAACCTCCTGCTCTGTTGCCATCTCAGCATGCCTAAAACGTGCTGAGACAGAGACCTGACATGTCTCTCCTGAGCTTATGATAACACATGACCCCAGCGGTGGCCTTTATTTCTTCCCCCCTGCTCACTCGTGGAACTGAAACCAGATGCACCCCTGGTTGGAGAGACCAGCAGCTGCAGACCGCGCTTAGGAAGGAATCTATTAATGGAAAGAACTGTTTTAAAAGTCTCTCCAGATTGTTGGCGTGGACAGCCTCCTTCCTGGGGGCCGGTAGCTCCTGGCTGCAGGGCATACAAACCATCTTTACCAACCTAACTGGTTTGTGGCTCTCCTGATTCTCTGTTTGCTAGCAAAATACCTCTTCAGCCGCTCTAAAGAAACAAAGTTTAAACACGTGCTCAGGGGCTCCTGGGTGGCTCAGATGGTTAAGCGTCTGCCTTCGGCTCAGGTCATGATCCCGGGGTCCTGGGATCGAGTCCCGCATCGGGCTCCCTGCTCCTTGGGAGCCTGCTTCTCCCTCTGCCTTTCTCTCTCTCTGCCTCTCTCTCTCTCTCTCTCTCTCTCTGTCTCTCATGAATAAATAAATAAAATCTTTAAAAAAAAAAAAAAAAACACGTGCTCAAAAAGATCCCAACGAATGCGGACCCTTCAAAAGGCCTTGAGTCATAGCCACTGAAACAGTAGCAGGGAACTGCCTGGGTTCCCTTCTTAAAGGCCAGCAGGTCATATGACCCAGGCTACTTGATCTCCTGTGGCATTTCAATTGTAAAACACTATTAATATCTGCCATCAGTTCCCCTCAAAGGATTGTATAAAATTTTCTGGATAGGAATACTGCATCTAATCATTTAGTTACAGCAGTATTTGAGTTCACTTCAAACACGACTATAATTTTGAATGTGCTGGTTCACTTACACACATACACACACACATACTGTTGTCACCTGATAGTTGTGTTAATACAATGACATTCTTTTTATTTGAATAGAATTTGTATGTTTGGAAATGAGTGTTAATCTTTGTATGGATTTACCGTTCCTTGACCCACACATTTTCAAAAAATCGTATGAACCCATTTCATCGAATTCGTTAAGAAGGTGGACTCTCTAGAAATGGTTTTTAAAATTAAGGAGATTATCTGGAAGAGTGGCCCGGAGGGTGCTCTATGACAAGCGTTTCTCAACAGCAGAGTCATCTGAGTGTTCATCATCAGGTTTGGTCCAGTTCCTCAGGAAAGGCTTTGGTTTCCTCGTAGAGTCTGATGCAGCTGGTTTTCAGGTCACCAAATGGGGTGGAGATCTTATCAGAATGAAGTTACTAGAACTTTGGGATTTTCTTCCTTCTCTACTGAATCTCTTGGTTTTTTCCTAAACCTGAACCTGAAAATAAAGTAAGTGCTAAAGAAAATTAAATATTCAAGACTCTCCTCCTCAGAATGCCAGACTGACACTGCAAAACATTTATCCAGTCAATGAATATAACTCTAATAATAGTTCAGGAGTCTAAAGCTTGTATTCTCTAATTCTACAGTTTCCCTGAGGAAAGGGTGGAGTGGTAAACATGAAGTTCTCGGCAAGCTAAAGTTGATATTGGAATAGTCATATCATTAGAAGAACACAACTTTTGGCGCACACCTTGCTATACATGTTCTGTCAGGAATCAGAATCATCCACTCATATATAGATTTATGTTCTTCATGGCCAGGCACTAAAGACCCATTATCTTACAGAACCTCATGATAGCCATATGAACTGTTTCCCCATATGAACTATTCCCAGATGTGAATCCCGACGTTTAGTGAAAATTAAGCAATTTTCCCAAATTCATTCACTAGATTTGGGATTTGAAGCCAGGCAGTTTCACTCTAGAATCTCAACTTCTCCTACAAATCCACTCATCTTTAATTGTTTGCCAATCTGTGATACTGTAGAAAGATATTCGATTTTTGTCCCTGGTTCCCGACTCAGAGCTCCTAAATCCTTTGTAATTTCCTGAGTGATAGGGATCATCTTGTCTTTTATTCTAATGAGGCAACTCTTGGGGGGCCCCTTGATAGTTTCAGGATGGAGGCTGGTCACCAGAAAGATCAGGCCTTGATTAGAAGCCTGGAACTTTCAGCCCCACCTTCCAACCTCCAAGGAGGGGTGAGGGGCTAGAGGTTGGATCAGTTATTGATCATGCCTAGGTGATAAAACCTCCGTAAAACCCCCTGAACACTGAGGCTCAGAGAGCTTCTGAATTGGTGAACACATCCATGTGTGAGGATGGTGGTGTTCCCCAACTGCACAGGGACAGAAGCTCCTGCACTCTGGACCCTTCTGGACCTCAGTCTTTGTATCTCTTCATCTGGCTGTTTGTATGTATCCTTTACAATAAACCTGAAATGGTAAGGAAAGTATCATCCAAGTTCTGTGAGTTATTCTGGCAAATTACTGAACTTAAGTGGGAGGAAGGGGGTTGTGGAAACACCAGGCTTTGAAACCACGTTGGATAGAAGTGTGGATAACCTGGGGACCTGATATTTACCACTGACATCTGAAGGGAGGGCAGTCTTGTGGGACTAAGCTCTAAAACCTACAGATTCTGATGCAAACTCTGGTGGTTAGTGTTGGAATTGAATGAAATTGTAAGGCACAAGTTGGTGTCAGAAGTGGTGGGTATCAGGAGGGAAAACTCTCATACAATCTCATAGGCCAAAAAAAGATTAAATTGTTTTATTTCGTATTTCTTTATTAATGTGGACAAGTATTGTTTTTCGTGTATATCCCTGCCACTGAAACGTCCTTTTCTGTTAACCACTTGTTGATGACCTTTGCCAGTTTTCCTACTGAGTTGTCTGTCTTTTTCCCACTGACTGCTGAGAGTTTCGTGTATATTAGCTGTATTAGCCCCAGGTGTATATTCTGTGTTGCAAATATTTTCTCCACTGGCTTTTTGACCTTTGTTCTTACTTATGGTTTCCTTTCTTGCTGTGCCAAGAATTTCTAAAGTTTCATAATCAGACGTAGCAATCTTTTCCTTTACATCTCTTTGCGTTTCATATCACGCTCAGAAAGGCCTTCTCTGAGGTTACAAAAATAACGTGTATTTTCTTCTGATACATTTATGATTTTACATTTTTAGGCCTCCATTTTTAATCACTTTGCAATTTATCTTGATGTATTTATTCTGGAGTAGGATGCAAGTTTTCTGTTTATCCAATGTGGCTAGCTGAATTCTCTAACACCCTTTACTGAATAATCTAATTTTTCTCACTGATTTTGAATTGCAACTTTTTAGCATAGACTGAGTTCTCATAGTTTCTTGGATTTAATTCTGAACTCTATTCTATTCCAGTGATTTCGATTCCTACACCCTTATGATAACGGTTTTAATTACCTCTGCTTAGTAATATGCTTTATTATCTGATACAGCTACTCTCTACTTACTATTCTGCTTTTTCAGAAATTTCCTGGCTATTCTTGCATGTTTATTCTGAGGAATTTTGAGGAATTTTGCTACCAGGTTTTAAAGTTCCACTTACCCTTTCACTTTCTGCATCTGCTCTAAGGTCTCTGGTAGAGTCATTCCAAAACTTTCAGGGAAGAAAAGGGTGATGATTCCAATGAAGACAGTCAGGCTACCCATGACGATGTAGGGCAGAACTCTGTCGTAAGCACCTGGAAGGCACAAGAACATCAGTTAGATACGGGGATTCTCCAGATGTCCCTGGGAATTATTTTGTAATGGTGGCAAACAGTATTTGAGAGCAGTTTTTTTTTTTTAAAGATTTTATTTATTTATTTGAGAGAGAGAGAATGAGAGAGAGTGCATGAGAGGGGGTTGGGTCAGAGGGAGAAGCAGACTCCCCGCTGAGCAGGGCGCCCAATGTGGGACTCGATCCCGGGACTCCAGGATCATGACCTGAGCCGAAGGCAGTCGCTTAACCAACTGAGCCAACCTAGGCGACCTTGAGAGCAGTTTTAAACCTGAACATTGTCAGAAGGAAAAAGGTATGCAGAGGATCACAGTTTCTTTTTGGTAGAAGCCATTACCTCTGAGATTCCCATAATCATTTCCCTATGTGATTTTGCATTATCATAAGGTCTTTCATGCCGGGTGGCATTCTCCAAGCCACTCTTTAACCATGTGTGACAGATGTTCCTTTGATGGAAGTCTTCACCTACCAACTTTTCCCTCTCAAGGTGGAATTAGAGATGGGGTATGAGCAGGCATCAAGGAGAAAAAGGATATCGCAGGGACAGGTACTGGCCATGATGACTGGTGTGACCATTGCTTTTGCCTGCACTAGTAAGTAGGCTGCAGTGGACGGCTAGGTCCAAAGATCCATGACACTCTTAAAAAAAAAAACAAAACCTAAGTAATATGTTCAATCCAATTTCAATCACTAAATGTCAGGCACAGCGAATGCACTATACCTGGATTTGGTTTCTTTTTGCAACATTTACGTGTCTTGGTTTTGTAATGTAATTGCAAGAACCATTCCACCTCTTCACTATCTGGTGTTACTTGGACAGGAGAATAATAGAGCCTCATTTTGCTTCCTTTCTGCAAACAGAGATTACAGAGGAATAGCACACCCAAGGATTTTACTTGTCAGAAAACATTAATCTGGAAGCTTCTCTGAGGCGTCTATGTCACTAATAGGAGTAGCTGTTGTGGAACAGAAAGATCTGTCTCAGACTCTTCCATTCCTTCCGTACCCAATGGTCCACCCTTAGACCAAGAGAGTGTGGCTTGAAAGCAGAGGGAAGAACAAAGGGAAAACAACACCACTCTATACTATAATGTGTTTTTTTAGGGCTTGTTCAGGGTAGCCGTGCAGAGTATGTTTAAGATAAGAAAATATTTCACTTCATCTGCAAAGATTAGGGTGTACCTCTGCTGAGGATTTAGATAGAGTATTTGTTTATGTGCGTGTTTGAACCAGTCAGAACCAGCGTATTTGAACCAATGGATGACTAGGAAGAATAAGGAAGCGTTATCAGCATCTCTCACTGGCAGAGTCCTTAATGGGGCTTAGGCTTGGAGTGTGAGATCCCACATCCATTGAGCAACCCACTGAAGCCCTCCTGTGGTGTTATTCCAGATTGAGAAATCTGACTATATAAAAACTAAAACTTCCTAAAATATCATAAAATCAAAAGTAAATGATGAACTAGGAAAAATATTTACAACCTATATGCAAAGGGCTAGTTTCTTTCGATTACAAAGAACTCTCACAAATCAGGGACGCCTGGGTGGCTCAGTCGGTTAAGTGTCTGACTCTTGATTTCAGCTCAGGTCATGATCTCATGGGTTTTGAGATCGAGCCCCGCATCAGACTCTGTGCTCAGCAGGGCTTCTGCTTGAAGATTCTCTCCCTCTATCCCTCCCCCAGCTCACATGAGCATGCGCTCCTGCGCTCCCTCTGTCTCACAAATAAATAAATAAATCTTAAAAAAATGCTCAACTTTATTTACAATTAAAGAATTAGAAATGAAAGCAATAATGATATCCATTTTTCAGATAACAGATTACCAATGATTAAAAAATTGGATCATCCCCTTGTTAGGATATGGAGAAATAGGCACTCTCATATATTGATAGTTGGATTGTAAATTAGTACAATACTTAGAGGCCAGTTTGGCAATATCTATGAAAATTTTAAATTGCTCCAACAATCCATGAATCCAAGTGTATGTAATTACATGAACAAAGGGTCTTAGGGGGGATAGAGGAATGTTCATTGCAGTGTTATGTGTAATAACAAAAACCTGGAAATGGCCTAAATGTCCATCCAATGAGCCTAAATATGTATACATACAAACTATGTATATACATACATTGGAAGAATATATACTAACTAAAAAGAAGGTAAAAGCTATATATGATACAATGTTAAGAAAGTTGTGAAACAATATATATAATTTTGTTTATGTGTTTAATTTTATTGTGTATATATATATGTTTTGCAAAACAAAATGTCTGAAGGGCTACTCACCAAAATGTTAATATTAGCTACTTCTAGGGCTGCAGTCTGGGGACCCGGGAGAGAAGAGGTAAGCTTTGTAATTTTTCCAGTACTTTCTGTGCTGTTTGCATTTTTTACAATGAAAAATCTATTCCTTTATATTTAAAAAAAGAACAAATTGACAAGATGCATCTCACCGAGGTAAACAAAGTAGGGAGCAATGATGCTGCCCACTCTGGAGGCCATGGATGTGACCCCCACAGCCATGTTCCTGACCAGGGTGGGGTAAAGCTCTGCAGTGAAGACATACAGCATGGAGAAAGCAGAGGTGATCCCGAACTTTCCTAACATCACCAGACCAATGGACAATAAGTTGTAATCTGGAAAAGAGACCCAGTGTAAATAGAGGTGCTTTTAGAAGTAAGGATTTGTAACTCAGTTCTTTCATTGTCCTTTTTGCCTGCACAGCAATGTTTTTATAATATAAACATATTCCTGGAGCACCTGGATGACTCAGTCGGTTAAGCTTCCGACTCTTGATTTCAGCTCAGGTCACGATCTCAGGATCATACGATCAAACCCTGCACGCCAGCTCTGCGCTGAGTGTGGAACCTGCTTAAGATTCTCTGTCTCCCTTTCCCTCTGCCTTTCTCCTTCCCCCATCTAAGGAAGGAAGGAAGAAAGAAAGAAAGAAAGAAAGAAAGAAAGAAAGAAAGAAAGACAGACAGACAGAAAGAAAGAAAGAAAGAAAGAAAAAGAAAGAAAGAAATTCCCAAGTAACACTTTCTCTTCAAATATCTTAATAATCGGACACAAGCAAAGATGGAGAGCGGGGGGGTTGCTTTCTGTTTTGCTCAACTGTTACTCTAGATCATTTAGGCAGTCAGTGACCTTTGTCCACTTTTGTTACAACAGTTTCATGGTAAATTGTTAGCATGTTAATATAGTTAAGTTTAATCTTCAAAGAGAAGGACCAATCCTTTCTATCCTGTTTATTCTTATTAAAGAAATATATGTTTCTATGTCTAATGCTATGTTATCAATGATCTATTGACAACATTTTAATAATATGAGAAAGTTAGGCATAAGGAGAAAAAAGAAGCAAATGTATTCAGTGTGCTCTTTAACTACTTCAGGATTACAGACCCTAAAAATCACTGATTTATATCGGAACTGGTGTGTCCTACGTGCTGCAAACTGGAAAATGCTCCTCAGGGAAGAGGTTTGAAAGCACCAAGGGGATGACTGATGGCATTAGTCTTCCTCTCAGGCAGTGATGTCTGATGCTCTGAGGCTGACCCCCATTTCAGGGGAGTTGTTATGAACACAGGAAATTATGTAGTTAGCTGTCGCTTGTCCGGTGGACTTACGAAGAGCTTATGATGTAAGGGTGTCACAAACAGGGTGCAGTGACTAATGATTAGTCCAGTCAAGGTGTGGATCTTTTCTGGTAAGCTGTTAATATTGGTTAACTTCTTACCTGCAGGTACGAGCTGAATTAAGAGAAGCACGCCTCCTCCCAAGAACAGTACTCCGGCTATGATGTAACGCCGAGGCAAGGTTCGAAGCAGCAACCAGGCTACAATGTAAGCCGGAACTTCGATCAAGGCAGAAAGGAAACAGTTCAGATAGGCATCTCCGTGTAAATTAGGAGCGTTGAGAGACAGAGCAAAGTAACCCACTGAGGTTAGCATCCTGAAAGACAAAAGAAAAAAGGCAAAAATGACAAGAGGATAGCTTGAACCACTCCATAATTCCATGATGGTCAAGAAATTGTCTCCATCTTTCTGTCCTATAAGTAGCTGCTAGTCACATATGGCTATATAAAAGTAAATCAATTTAAATGAAATGAAATTAAAAATTCAGTTCTTTAGTCACACTAGCCACACTTCACCTGCTTGATAGCTGCATGTGGCTAGTGGCTACTACAATGGAAAACTTAGACATACACCATTTTCATTGTTGTGGAGAGTTCTACTGGACAGCACTAGTCTAGCTATACCAACATTCAACAACACCTGGTCTAGTTAATTTCAGATTTCAGTATTTCTAGTTAATTTCAGATTTCAGTATTCTGGTCTAGTTAATTTCAGATTTCAGTATTTCCTGAACAGTTTGAACATCCTCATTCCCTTACAACTATTATTTGAAGAAAAACCGTCAGTCATGTGCACACAAAATCCAGATTTTATTCTTACCGAAAAGAAAAACAAGGACACATAGTCAATACTGTGGGATTCACTTTTGGTGAATTCCAATCGATTTATTAAAACTCACTTTAGGGGAGAGAATGAAAGTCCCATAGTGGTTCAAAGTCTCACAGAGTACACACTGCATATCCTGTCATTACAGTCCATTTCCACAGAACCACAAAGCTCTTCTGTATAAAAATGACTGCATCTTGCAGACTCCTCTGTGCAGAAATTTGCTTATGATTAACATGACCAAAAAGCAGAGGATATCCGGAAAATGTTTTCGGGAACATTGTTGTTCTAATGTCACTGTTCTGTGCTAATAGAGTGTCAGGAAGCAGGAGTTGAATTAGCCTCTCAGTTTCAGCCACCAGCAACATTATTACTATTAATCCCAATTACTTTAGGAGGGGAGGGACCCTTTCCCTGTGGGCCACAGTACTGCAGGCTTAAACATTGCTCCCTGTGACTTTTTTTTCAGCATCCATGTTCCATGAATTGAATGGAGGCATTTCCAAATAACTTAGAATTCTATAATTTTTATTTTGTTTCAGGAAGACTCAGTCCTTACGCTGATGTTGCTGTGAATTAGAGAAAATCGGTTGTATACTTAGGTGCTACGTGTCGCATTCATAGATCACTTATTACTTACCAGAGCAGCAAGGACATGATGGTTATTGTGGCAATATTTCGTGTCCTGAACAGATCCAGAATGAAAACTTTCTGCTGACTTGGGAGTTTTAGTTCCTGTAGCTAAAATAATGCAAACAACCATGAGATTAAGAGGTAATGAGGAGGTATCTTCAACCATGGCAATGTGGGAAAGACCTATTATGCATATAACGCTCCTTCATCTTGAATATCCTCAGAAGTCTGGAATTGGAGGGGAATAAGGGCATCCACGTATATGATGCTTATTCTAACACTTTAAAATACTTGTGGCCCATTTTAGACAGAGCCTTAGAATTAGCTTCAGTGTCTCTTTATATAAAGCCTGACTGCTAACAGCCTTTTCTTGACTCATGGTCATCACTGTGGTGACTTGAACCACACCGAGCTGTGACCCATAGGACCCGTGGAATGGGTAGGGCCAAACAGCCCCAAATGCCTTGAGGTCCATGTCTGGTTTTGTATTTTTCTTGTTGTTGCCTTAGTGTCAGAACAGATTTGGGTTCACTGAGGGACCTTGGGTAAGAGTTCTAAGCATCAGTTTACTTCTCTGTTAAAATGTATAATAATTGGGAGTTGAGAAAATTAAATGAGATCTATATATATATATATATATATATATACACATATAAAACTTAGCATAGTACTTGAACCATGGTAGATGCCCAATCCCGTTTTAACTATAATTATTACTATGACTGCACCATTGAAGAAAATACGCTACCTGGCTAGTGGCAGTTTCTTACTGCTGTCAATGGGTTTCCCTCCTTTACTTTTAATTTACTAAATTTAACTTGCCATGTGGTAGGAATCTAGATAACCAAGCTTATTGGAACTTGTAAAAAAAAAATTACAAGGCTCTGAGGTGTGGACTCTCTTTGGGGTATGGTGTGTGTGCAATAGGAGGCTTAGGAAGGAGGGTCTACTGTGAAGGAATGAAACTGATGGACCTGCCTTTATAGCAGGTGCTCCCCAGATATGAGCCTCCTTCTTTCTAAGAATAATCAGACACTCCCTCTTGCTGCTCACAGACATATTACCGTTCTTCTTCTACATGATTTGGAGTGTACAGCCCCAGAACATGCCCCTGGCAGCATAACCCTATTATCACAACCAAAGTAAAGCCCCTGAATAAACTAGTGGGAACTAGAAGTCTTCATGGAGGGTTCTGGAAGCGGTGCCATGCGTGGATAGGACCTGTGCATCAGGCCCACGCTAACACTTGGTGCTTCCACGGGGCCCTTATGAAAATGCAGCTTGCCAGGTCCCACCTGGGGCCTGCTGAATCTGAATCTTTCCTGGGGCCCTGAAGCCTACGACTCCATATTTTTAAAGTTACTTGGGTGATTTTTTTCCCCCTTGGGTGATTTTGATAACAGCCAGTTTTAGAAAACTCAGGACAAGAATAATCTTGTATCCAGTACTTGTGACTGTATGGATCACCAAAATACCTTTGGACCAGACGCCATGAGCAGGCTAAAGGTGCTTCAGAAGGAAAGCCAGAGAAGCCCAAGACAGCTTTCCAAGATGACCCTACTCTCTATTTTTTTCTGTCCACTGCCTCTAACATGAGATAAGAAATCACATGCTGTTAAGCGCACGTACTTTGGCACCAGAGAGACCTAGCGAGATTTCTAGCTATGGGAATTTGGGCAAATTCCTTAACTTCTCTGTACTTCGATTTCCTCTCCTGAAAAAAAGGGCCTAGAGTAGTACCCATTAGCTATGGCTTGTGTGAACATCAAATAAGCTCAACACTGTGCCTGACATCTGGTAGACTCTCCATTGTCGTTCTGAGCAGGCTGTATGTGCTGGCCCAGGGCTCTGAAGAGGACCCCCCTACCTCCACCGCCCCGCCTTGCCAGGAGGTGAGCATCAGAGATGAGCACAAGCTCCCTTTCCTTCAGCGGGCTCATCCAGTTCAGGCTCCACGCGCCCGATGGTAGGAAGAAACGAGGTGCTTTCAGAAGCATGTGTTTTGACACTGAACTTTACTCTTATTTGCCCATAACTATCTCTTTTATGTTTTATGACTGCTTTCAACCACGTAGGTCTGATCTCCACTACTAAACTGTAAGTTCCTGAAAGACAGGAATCAGATCACAGACGCAATAAACATCAATCAACAACCAGCACCACCCTGAGATTCAGAAGAGTCCACTGGACACTCCTGATGTCCAATAAATTATCTAAGGCTGGGAATGGAATTCTTGATCTGAAGAGCAAAGGATTAAGAGATATTTGCCCTGGCAGCCCTCTGAGAGCTTGGGTTCATGGCCCTGTAATTAATCCTTCGGCTATTGCCAGGATATCTGCTTCTGTCAGAGGTCCCAAAGGCCAGGGATGGAGCCGAGGAACGCCCACCACCCTCCGCAGAGTCCTGCCTTCTGGGGGAGCCAGACTTGAGTCTGTGCAGACTTGACTATGGGGCAGGCATACGGTCGCTGCAGCTGTCCCCATCTTCTTGGGGTATCCTGAGCAGGCCCTTACCCTTCTCCTAGCCAGGAATGCCCTGCCCCCATCCCCTCCATTCATCTCAGCCCCCACCCCCTGGTTTGGACCTGCCTCTTCAGCCCAGGGTCCGTCCGTTCCCTTTCTCTGCTGGTATACAGCATCCACACCTTGGGTACTTAGCACTTCCTCCCCCCGGCATCATTTATGTCACATCTAATCCTCCTGACCCTCTTAGCTACATGCTATGTTCCCTAAGCATAGGAACTGTATCTAACTTTTCTCACTTTCTCCAGGATCCAGCACACGGCATGGACGGGGACACTGAGGTCCTCACTGACTGTCAGGAAGTAGGGCTGCTTCCACAGGATATCATCTTTCCCTCGTGGCCTCCTGCCTTCAGCGGTGACCCCTCGAGCCTGTGCCTTCACGCCTTTAAGTTGTAGACACGACCCAGCAAGACTAGAGGCATACACAGCTTCCTCAGCAGCTGTGGCCTGATTCAGGGTACAGTGGGGCAAATCCATGGATGGAATACCCCCAACCACAGTTTTTCCACTTCATCTGGACCTTCAAAGATCACCGATATGTTACTGCACCAGTGGTATGGCGCAATACCAATAAAGAGTTGCAGATAAAACCTGTCAAAGGCAAGGGGGACTAGTATTTAATCAACACTTGCTATAGGCTAAGCAGTTTACATATATGATTGCACCTAATTCCGACGCAGCCCTCTGAGGGGGACTTCACCTCAGCACTTAATCATCATGGTGTCTCAAGGACTCACACAGAGCCTGGTACATAGTGGGCACATGCTGGATTATATTAAGTCAAGAATGAACAGCTGACTTTAAGATGACACATCTGCAAATGTTTACCTCCATTGGATCAAAAATCACCGTCGGGGCAGCTATGTTGTTCATTTTTGCAGCTTTTTGGATGATACTTTCAGCCTCTCTAAATCTTCTCTGGGATATCAACCACCGGGGCGATTCGGGAATAAACCTGGAATAAATTTTTCATGGTTTATAATTTTTTGCAATAATGAGGTTTAATACTATTCAGTGTAAGTTGCCCCCAAATAATTTTTATTTTGTAAGATTGTAGTTTGTCTATTTAAAAAAAATCAGGAAGGAGGCCTCATAAAATTTCCATTGATAATAGGAATAAATAAAAGCACCTCCAAGTTTCAAAGTTCTGATCAAATCACAGGGCTGACTGATCATCAGTTGTACTTGAAGGCAGGACCAGATCATAAAGGGTAACATTAACTGTGCGTGCTGTAAGCCAGGCAGTGGGAGAAAGTCATTTCAAACTTAATAACCATTGTGGCCCTTAAAGAAACACAATCTAGTATCTTTTCAGTGCGTCCATTCCTTAGAGAATTCCTAGTGTCCCAGCTGACGATGGTCAGAAGTTTACCAGGTAAAGGTGGCCAAGACATCCATGCTCTTTGGGCTTTTCTTGTGGGCAGAGGAGAAGGTGGATACATGGACACCCCCCTGTGGGCTGTCCCTGTGGCTCTCAGATTCCCAGGGCAGTGAGTAACCAAACGAGGCTTTGGGAGACAATGTTGTCTTTTTTTTTTTTTTAATGTCTAGAAACTTAATTTTTTTTATTATACACCGTTCACTTCTATTCTTTCCTAATTTGTCTATTTTTTCTATTCTTATTTCTTCTTCTCATACTTGCATTTATTTATATTTTTCTATTCTTTCCTACTTTTTATTTCTCAGTATCTCTTAGCCATTCTTCTGCCGGCTCTTTCTTTCCTTACCTATTGGTCAGTGCTCAGTGATCCTAGAAAATACACGACACGTAGCAGGTACAGAGGCCTCCTATCATTAGTCGGGCCCCTCCAAAGCCTCAACAGCAATTAACCTCAGAGCAAAACACAACTTATCAAATGGTCAAGTCTCAGCTCCCTTCCCCAGCCTACTAGCGCGTGGGTTGAAACACGAACCCAGTTTATGTCATTTTGGAAGATGCCTTTAGTTGGTCCCTAGGGTAACTCTGATGATGTTGGGTCTGTGATCTTGAGTAAGTAGAGCCGCACTGTTCAAGAAGGCGGCTTTCTGCACTGCTCTGCACTGCGCTGTAGCTGTGTTGCCAAATATCGTAGCTGATAACCGCGTGTGGCTATTGAGCCTGTGTAACTGGTGTGAATGAGCAAATGAATGTTTTATTTTATTTAAGTATGTGCGTGTGGCTAGAGGCTACTGCTATAGTGCAGAATTAGAGCTCCTACTTCCCAGCCACTGTATACTTCATGCCTATGTACACGTATACTCCCTTCTAATTCTGAGCAATGCCTTTCCCCCTAAGGTTGTTCTTAGAAATACCCAACCTTTCTTCCCACAGGCTCTAAGGGCCCTCATGGACCTTAATGTTTAGTCGGCTAGATAGTGCAAAGCTTCCCCCGTGTTGCGTCTATGGGCTCCCTCCCCAGCCCCTACACACGTACCCTGTTCATACTTGTGGTCCGTTCTTGCCAAACCTTATAAGGGAATTTGAGTTATAAAAAAAATCCCCAAACCACCTGCAGGGCTCTGGTTTACTCCCATTTGCCGCCCATGATGCTCAGGGTGCTGCGATCTCTACTTCGGCCACGGCTTTTGTGCTGCACGGAGTATCAAGTCTAGCTGATCACTGCAGAAGTTAGGGGAGCACCAAACGAGGTTGTACACTATAGCTTCTTTGTAGATTGAATGCAAATAGAACAGGGGGAAGGGCATTGCTGGAGAGTCTCTATCACACACTGAGAAGGCAGCAGGGAGCCCAGCAGCCCCAAGCCAACCCTGCATGACCCCAGCACACCTAGACTGACAAGCATGGCTTCAGGAAGTCCCACCCTCAAGAACGAGGTGTTCGTAAGAAAGCGATTTTGTTTTACAGAAAAATGATAAGACTGTCGTTAAACTTTTAGGACGAGCACATGGCTTTGTAGTGCTGGTTCCGGGCTGTCCTCTGTCTGGGGCAGTCCTGTCCCTGGTACAGGGTGCCCACAGCCTGGAGCACTCACGAGCCAGCTCGGGGCAACAGAAAGAAGAACTCTCCTTAGGGCAAGGGTAAGGCAGAGCCTCATGGGATGGTCTGTCTTTACTGGAAACCACAGGGGCTGACCTATCAGGGTTGTTCCTTGCTGTAATATTGGGACCTGAAGCAAAGGTCCAAGCCCTAGAAATTAAAATCCCTACTAATCTCTTATAGTCAGTCAGGGCCCTTTTATTTTTATTCTCCTTCTCTCTTTCCCTCCCTCTGATAGAATCACACAGTAATAAGGTTGCTTATAACATATTTTAGAAGTACTGGTCTCTTAGTCCAAAATGGCAGCTAGAGCCAGGGATCACAGATTATTAATTAACATCATTCATCTGCAGAGGCAAAAAATAACCTTTGAATAGTCTTGTCTTGTGTCTTGAGAGAAACTCTGGTCACCAACACCCCTCACAATAAATTCAGTCAGCAAGGGAATTGTGGAAAGAGGGTCAGAAGATGTGACAAAGCTGATGTTGGTGATTATGATGATGATCATGATGGCTCTCATTCCAGAAAATTGCCCTGCTCTTGTAAATCTGGGGTGCTTCCTTGGAGTCAGAGCTCTGTAGTTAATGACCTGTCCTTATTTACCATAAGTTTTCCTGACCCTCAGACTGTGTTGCAGAGGAGATCTCCAAATCAGAATAGCTATCTAACCTTTAACACACTGTCTCTCAAATCCCAGGCAACTGAGGGAAAAATTGCTTTCTCCTCTCAGGCACATCCATGCCAAGAATTTACACTGAAAAATGATAGCAGTCTTAGACATGATAAAAAGACAGTAACTGGGAGTGGTCCAACCCGTGCTAACTGGTCCAACAAGGACAAAATGTGCTACCTGTCAGTCTCTAAGGCTGCCTAACAGTTGCAGCAAGATAAAGGACCTTCTGGAAAATTCCTAGGCTGTGTACAAAGGACAGGGAACCACGAGGGCTAGTCTAAACCATGAGTTTTTAAACAATGGTCAAAGAAACTTTCATTGTGTGTAAGCAGGTAGAGATCAAGCAGTTCAGTAAAACCTATACTGTTGGGAGATTTGATACTGATATCATGAAACCAAATCAAGAAGAATTAATGAGAGAGAAAAGAGAGAGAGAGAGAGACCCACCAATAGAAGAAATCCCCTTTCCTCTTGCTTAAATATAGGAGAAACAAAAACAAAAACCAAAGAAATGGGGAATCCCCAAAAAGAAGGTGCAGCTGGGACCTTATTCCACTATTCTAATCTCTTCTCTCACCTGAAACTTCCCACATAATCATATTGGGTGAAACTGGGGCCAGTATCTCCAAACTTGGTTAATCCCACACTGATTTGTCAAAATTGGGTGGCAGGATTGAGGAAGGGGAGAACATTTCTCTTAACAACTCATTAAATGAAAAGAATGCTCTCGCCCTTCAAGACAAAGCAGAGGGACGCCTGGGTGGCTCAGTTAAGTTACGGTCAGAACCTGGGTCCCTCGGGGTGCCTGGGTGGCTCAGTCATGAAGCGTCTGCCTTCGGCTCAGGTCATGGTCCCGGGGTCCTGGGATCGAGCCCCGCATCGGGCTCCCTGCTCAGCGGGAAGCCTGCTTCTCCCTCTGTGTGCCGCTCCCCCTGCTTGTGCTCTCTCTCTCTCTCTCTGACAAATAAAGTCTTAAAAAAAAAAAAAAAGGCAAAGCAGATAAACAGGCACATCCTAGATGTTAATCACCCCGTGATAGGGAAGCTTGAGGAAATTACATGAATTGAATCCAGAAGGAGAGAGATTTCCTGGAGAGAGAAAGTTGTCAACAGAGCAGGGTGGGGCAGAATTGGAAACAACAAAACCCATGGGTAGCATGTCCACAAACAACATCAACAACCAACAGCGGAAGAGAGCGGGGGCGGGGGGTCGGGGTGGGGCCTCAGTGGGGCCGGGTTTCCTGAGAGCGGGGCTCTGTGGGACCATGGAGAATCAGACCGTGGCACACAGGCCCACCCGCAGCGAGGCCAACATGCCCCGGGCTTGAAGGCCAGCTCCACCGGGACCACGCAGCCCGCGCGAGGGTCAGCACCAGGCATGCCAGCCCTCGGAGGGGGGCTGTCTGGGACCGAGCCACACTCACCACCACAGCGGGATGCACAGCACCCCGGGCACCGTCAGCGCCAGCAGCAGCATCCGCCAGTCTCGGATGAAGTAAGCAAACAGCGGCAGCAGCATGTAGCCTACTGCAAAAAATGTGCACACTCCTAACGTAGAGAATAGAATACGAACTGACTTGCCAAGAATTTCAGTTCCTGTTCAAAACAAGGGAGGAGTATTAGCATTTTAACTCACTTTAATATTTGCCGTTTTACATCATTACCTGGCAGTTGGAGTTCGAGCTACAATTACGAGGAAAAGGGAAAAGCGTTTGCCTTATGGCCCAGAGGAGGCGTGAAGGAAAGTGGGAAGTGACCCAAGACTTGTCACCTTAGAGAAGGATGAGTTTTCATGAGATTTTAAAGGAGCCACAGATTTATCTTTTTATGGCTGTCTCATGCCCAGCCCCGAGAGGTCATCTCTTCTGAGAATGCCCCGTTTCCAAAATAAGTGCCCAAGGTGAAGAGCAGACACTCTCCCCTGGGAGACAGTGGGGGGTCTTCTGAAGGGCTCTGTGGGGTCACGATGCATGTAGCCTTTCCCACATTTGCCCACTATAAACAAACAGACACGGGGTCTCAGGAAACAGTGGACAGTTCAGAGTTAACAGAGTCGTGTTAGGACACCATTAGCCACCCTTGAGCCCTGAGAGTTGATAAATAGGATCCAGCTGACTCTGGGGGTACACAGAGCAGCCCCCTACCCCCGCCCCTCCGCAGACACCCAGGGCTGAATTCCCTGCAGCCACATTGTACTCAGGCATCAGCCCCAGGCAGACACAGTCTATTCAGACCAAGGAAAGAAAGAGGGAGCCATTTTGCTGGCCCAGCAGGTGGCGGCTCTCGAGTTGGCCGCACACCCAGGGAAATTCACAGAGCTTTCCCAGAACACCGCAAAGGCCCAGGACTGCTTGGTGTTGGGCCCTGTTTTGGAAGAGGACACACAGGTGGCTCTTGGCTCTTGCTCTGCTCAGTGCCCCAAGTCTTCTAGAGATATGCCTGCCTCTTAGAACTCCCGGTTGCAATGGGGGCGTCCAAGAACAAGTTCCTCTGTTGGCACAGAGCTCCTTTCCAGAATCCGCTCTTGGTCCTCTGCCCCCGAGGCAGAGATCTCCCGGTTGCAATGGGGGCGTCCAAGAACAAGCTCCTCTGTTGGCACAGAGCTCCTTTCCAGAATCCGCTCTTGGTCCTCTGCCCCCGAGGCAGAGATCTGGCCAATGGCAACAGCTCTGCTTTTTGTTTACGATCCGCCCACCGCTACAAAAGAGTAGCCCAGGAAACACAAAACAGAGCATTCAAAGGACCATTCAGCCTGGTCTTTCAGGAGATATTTTCTCAGTTGTATTTGTATGCCTTGAGCACAGGCTAAGGAATTAAGGGCTAATTCCAGAGGAGCAGTATGATTACTACAGGGTCCACATCTGCAAGGATTTTTTTTCAATAAATACAGTACGGTACTGTAAATGTGTTTCTCTTCCTTATGGTTTTCATTCTCTAGCTTACTTTATTTTAAAAATACAGTATAGAATACATATAACATACAAAATATGTGTTCATCGACTGTGTATGTTATTGATGTATGAAAGAACGTTAGGGTTCGAAGCCGATGGCCAAGAAAGAATTCTTGAGAGGTCTTTGATGCAAAAAGGTGATTTTATTAAAGCACTTGGACAGGACCCATGGGCAGAAAGAGCCGCACCAGGATCATGAGGAGCGGCCCATTATATTCTTTCAATTTGCGAGGGGCTTAGGGATAGTGTAAATCTCTAAGGAAGTGGGAAGCAAGGTTTCCAGGACCTTGAGGGGGCTAGCTATTGTTGGGAAAAGGTCATTTATTACCGTCTAATAAAACCTTAGTCACGAGACCCTGTGGGCCATATGCTTGAGGGATGATTACCAACACGTATCTTGGGGGGTTTAGAGATAAAGGAAATTTCTTTCTTTTTTTTTTTTAGATAAGAGAATTTTATTTACAGAAAGGTCATGGAGAATTAACAAAATTTTATGAACACAATTTTGTTAACAATAACTAACAATCAAGAATGGTTTAATATATAATATCACTTGGTATATAATACATACTAAAATATAGTTTTCATGCTACCCTTATCCATTAGTTTCTGTTCCAATTTTTAACAAATCTAGAAATAAGGCAGTATACATGGAACAGATTTACTACATACTTTTAAATTATGTATTCCATCTACATCAGATACTGTCAATTTAAAAACCACCTGCAAATTAAATGGCCTTTCCATTATAATTCCTAAATTTAAAGACATAAGCACCAAATGGAACGCAAAATGCATAAACTGTCATAAATTTCAAAAAGAAAAAATTACATAAGCAATATTATAAATTAACAAAGAATTTTCCAAAGAATACTGCTGAAGGTATATCAAAACTTTTATAATGATTAAGTCTAGAATATTTTTACTTGCATTCTTTTCCATCCAGCTGAACACACCAAAGCACTGAAAGAATTGAAAGAACCATTTATAAATGAATAGTAGATGGCACAGGTCATTTTATGGATAAAAGGAAGAGGGACTATGTACTTTGATTTGCAAATAACGTTCTTTATCCAAGTAAATCCTCAGTGTTTCTATTATCCTTGAATGACAAGATTCATTAAGTACTGTGTGAAAAAAGAGACCATCCTTTTACTGATGGAAGGCTTCTAATCTTGTTCCGGTCGGATCTTCTGGATGTCTCAAGGCAATTCCATTACGAAGGAGCAGCTCAATATAAGGTGGCCAAAAAGAATCACTAATTTTGACATATGGATCATGTGGAACATCAAATAATCCATTTAAAAGAATCTCTAACATTTCATGCAGTGTTATCAGCTGTGCAGTTGATTCTTGAATGTTTTTCTTTTTCTTTTTCACATTTCCATCAGGCAGAGGAAAATGATCTTCCAGAAACTCACCCAAGGTAATCAAGAGTTTCTCCTTATATTCTTTTATATCATGCATTTTAGTTTTCAGCTCATCAAAGATTCTTGATTCAAAAAATGTCACAACCTAACGTTTCAATTGTGTAGTACATTAAGAGATTCCAGTATCTGTTGTTGTTCATCTAACCACTGTTGCTCCCTTTCCAAGTCTTCCTTTAGCTTTTCATTCTTTGACTGCATAGTAGAGAGTCCCAATTCAAGATCATGTCTCAATTTTTGGAACTCTTCCTTTCCTAATGTTACAAGAACTTCTTCATTCAGTGGAATTATTCCAGGACTTTCTTTCTGCCATTGATTGAGCTCAGCAGTCAAACATTTCACTTGCATAATTAATAATGACAGCTGAGCATTTGAATCAGTGAGTGTCTCAGTTCCAACAAGTGACAATTTTTCTGACATTCTTCCATATCTTTCCACATTTCTTCACATTCTTTAATAAGTTCTTCTTCAGCATCTGTAACATCTTCCATAACTGTAGTACTGTCTGGATCTAGATCTTGCTGATTCACTGACATGTGCCTTGTAATAATTAGCCTTATAAGAAAAAAAGCTGTGTGACCTTGGGCAAGTCACTTAAACTGTCTGTGCTTCAGTTTCCTTATCACCACAGTGCCATGGACTTCAGGTCTTCTCGGCCGGCCCGATAAAGGAAATTTCTAAAGGAATTTTTAAATGTTAAAGTAGACTTACAGGATCCTGGGGGGCGGGGGAGGACTCGGGCTAGGATTGTCTTTTGCCCTTAGCAAAGTACTAACATAGAGTCAGTTGAGTCCCTAGAGGAATGTCACTCTGCCTGTTTCGAGGACTTGTCAATGGGCTGTAGGTAGTAAGGAAATTTAATAATTTTTTTTCTGCCTTTGTTTCCCACATCATTATCAGTAAGGCTTCTGATCAACAGTAGGTTATATTAGTAGTTAAGTTCTGGGGGAGTCAAAAGTTGTATGTGGATTACGACTGTGTGGGTGAAGGGTGGTCAGTGCCCCAACCCCCCCATTGTTCATGGGTCAGTTATATTTGGCTAGTTTCCCATTCTCACCTCCTGCTTGTTCTTTATCCCCAGCCCATTTCTTCCTCGCTCAACATAACTGAGAGGTGTGCCTCAGGGGTTTCCTCTTGAACAGCCATTTCTAAAAACCAGACTGATAGAAATGGCCAATAATGATGTGTGCTTCTCTCATTTCAGACTATGGGCAATAGGCCTAACCACCTAGGGCACTTTTCAGCCTCTCCACTAATTTCTAAAGACAGGGCCTGACTTCTTTGAGGATCACGAGTGTTAGTTCCAAATCTTTTCTTACCTCAGTAATGACCCTCCTACCACTCCACAGGCAGACTCACCATGCCACGTTTCTAAACACTTTGGCTGTCATTATCATGATGTGGGTGGGAATGAATAGGGGGCACTTTGTTCCTAAGTAGAGTTTCAGAAGTGAAGCAGCAGAGGATTTGGTTGCGGAAAAGAGCAAGTGCACAGGACTAAGTGAGAATCTTGTAGAATCGTGAGGCCAAGGGGGGCTCCCCCATGATTCCATGACCCTGATAAGAGAAGAGAGAGAAGAGACACCACTGGATTCCTGGATAACCTCTGTCTCTAAGCTCGGGTCTCAGGCCAGAACAGAGCTGTTCTGACTTTGCACAGTACCCATGGGGGACAGAGAGTTTTAAATCTATCCCTCTGCCTTTCCAGGGAGCAACATGGATGGCACGACCCTGAAGAGTTCCTTGTTAGCACGACTTCCTGCCCTCTGACTTTTAGACAGCCACCCCTCCTGACATATCATTATCGTCTTCGCAGCTAACATCCATTTCTGAGCGGGCACTTCGAGCCAGGTCCTAAGCTAAGTATTTACATACATGATCTCTTTGAAGCTTCACAGTAATTATGCAAGAACTAATATTACTTCTGGGGTGCCTGGGTGGCACAGTCGGCTAAGCGTCTTACTCTTGGTTTTCGGCTCAGGTCATGATCTCAGTGTCATGAGATGGAGCCCCATGTCGGGCTCTGTGCTCACTGGGGAGTCTGCTTGAGATTCTCTCTCTCCCTCTGTTCCTCCCCCTTGCTCTCTCTCCCTCTAAAATAAATAAATAAATCTTAAAAAAAAAAAGAATGAATATTACTTCTGCTTTATGCATAATCAGCTGAGACTTAAAGAGCAGAAGCAAATTGCCTCAATTCACACATAGGTAGTAGGTGGGGCAGCAAGGATTTAAGCCTGATCTGTTTGAACTATGGATACCATCAGAAAAAAAATCACCTGGAGGCAAAACCTGGGCCTTATAAGCAGTCCTTCAACTGAGATTCCTAAGGGAGACACTGATGGGAGATGGGTCAGGACATGCCCTCCTTTCAAGAAGTGAGGATTTGCTTGTTCCCTTCCTGGGCTGGTATTTGAACCAACTGATAGCCGACCAGCCGTCTCGGAGGAGCACTAGGAGAGGAGTCCTGATTCCTGCAAACCTTCCATGGCCTGCAGCTGCCGAACAGATGACAGCAGTGACTTCTGGCTCTGCTGACTGGGGATGCCTGTCCTGGGCTAGTTTACCCTCTAGGGTTTTGCTCCTAGTTGGCCTTGGTCTGGTTGGGCCGTGGAGTGACTCTTGGGAGTGAACTCTGTCATCTAAGCCAGACGGCATGTCCTGATCAACAGTGTTTGTTCATTGCCTGTCACTACCACCCCAATCAAAGTACTGTCTCCAAGAGGGAGTGACGCAGAGAGGGCTAGGCTCACTTCCACAATGATTAAGGCCCTTCTCTGGTCATCATCCCGGGAACCACTGAATCCACTCCACATTGAAGGCAGGATCTGCTCCTCCATGAATGACCAACAGAAGCCTGCAGCAGACCCCAGCAGACCCCAGCTCAAGAAATAAGAAGATGGTACAGTTGCCAGGCTATGGGATAGGACCCAGGGTCCCCCGGGTTTTGAGTAGAGAGGCCATGTACAAAAAGGCGTCTGCAGAGAACCTGGGCTCCTCGACACTCATTTGCTACTGAAGTGACTTTGATAAGTCCTACTTCATGGCGGTCTTTATGATGAGGACTGAGATACCATATGGAAAGAGCCTAGTAGAGTATCTGGCATGTGGTAGGTGCTCAGGAAGAGCTAATTCTCTTATCCTGGTCAAACAGTTGAAATGTGCTGAATGTCAGAGGAATGAAGAAAGTACAGTGCCTTTGACCAAAAGACCCAATGGAAGACAGCAGAACCTCTCTTGGCTCCCTGGAAATACTCAGAACTCTCTCCAAATTAACAGATATTCCCCTACTCAGGCCTTCCTCTCTCCTCTCATGAACCTAAAGAGATCATTTTAGTTAAAAGCAACCCTTGCTATCTCTACATATATCCCAAAATGTCTTTCTTCACACAGTACAGTGCAAACAAGGGGTGCCAGTAAATGTCTGCATCCTCTTAATGTATTTATATTCCATCTCATCCCTTGAAGTCTGAGGTACCTTATAATTTGAACACAATAAGATAACGGTAACATTAAAGTAAAGTACAAAGAAAGGCAAAAGTTCTGCTTTGGAGGAAAGAACAAAAAATATGCAACTGATCCCCTTGAAAAACAGTATGGCAGTTCCTTAAATGGTTAAATATAAAATTACCATATGACCCGGCAACTCCACTCCTAGGTACATATCCAAGAGACCTGAAAACACATATCCACAAAACGCCTGTCCTCAAATGCTGATAGTAGCATTATTTTTGATAGCCAAAAAGTGGGCACAACCCAGATGTCCATCAACTGATGTATGGATGAGGAAGATGTAGTAAATCCATTCAGTGGAGTAGTGACTCACACTATAGCATGGACCAACCTTGAAAACATCAAGCGAAGGAAGTCAGTCACAAAGGCCACAGCTTGCATGTTTCCACTTATCCGAAATGTCCAGAATAGATAAAACCATACAGACAGAAAGTAGATTAAGTGGTTGCCAGGGGTTAGGAAAAGAGGAGAACTGAGAGGCACTGCTAACGGGTACTGGGTTTTCGGGGAGGTGATGGAAATGTTCTGCAGTTAGAAAGAGTTGATGGTTGTACAACTTTGTGAATATACTAATAACCACTAAACTACACATTTTAAAAGAGTGTATAGTATGGTATGCAAATTGTATCTCAATTTAAAAACACTTTAAAAATATGTGGCTGATAAAGAATGCACGATTGACAGAGTTAAATTTCAATTTTGCCTGAGTCTTCTTTCTGGTAGCCAGAATTATAAAGGAGGATGCCTTCAGTTACATACTTCTGGAAAGGAAGCACACATCTAGACACCAGAGGAAGCAGAGTTTTAAACAGGTCAGCATGTTGGCACAAATACTGCACAGGAGGTTGATGTTAGTAGTACTAGGAAAATACTGAATTAGTGGATGGGTCAAGACAGGAAGGCAGTTAACTGTGCAAAATAAATTTGAGTAGGTAGTTACGAGGGATAAAGGAGGGGTCCCTGGCATCTTACCCAGAAGGTGGTGGACAGCTTGGAGGCACTATTCCTGGGAAACAGTAGGAGATGGTGAGGAGGAGCTGGAGTACAGGCGGGGTCAGTGTCATTGGTCCTGAGTGGTCATTTCCTCCTAAACCAGCATCTTTTTGGCAGGGTCCTCACTACCAGGTGAATCCACTTTATGTTCCTTTGGCTAGCACTGTTGCTTCCCTCCCTTTTCCTGTCTCCTATGCCTCTGGCAAGCTTTACAATTTTTAAAAAGTAGAACAAGGAAAGGATCCGTTTCTGCGTCGTTTTGAGAATGGGAGTAATTCAGCTTCCCGAATTAATGGGAAGTCCCTTAAAATGAGATTATTATCACAGAGAGTCTTGCCAACCCTTCCCTAGAGCCAGAGGGCAAAAGAGGCCTAGACCCCAAGCTTTCGTTTATTTTACTCAGAACCCAGAATTCACTATTTTGGCCCTGGGACGCCAGAGAGCGCTGCGGCGCTGCGGAAAAGCCGGGCGCTACCCAGCGCTCACACGTTGCGGCCCCAGCCCCGCCCAGCGCTCGCACGTTTACGGCCCCGCCCCAGGCCCTGACTCCAGAGTCCAACGCGGGGGGGGGGGGGGGGCCCGGATAGGTTTTCAGGGACATTTTTTAAATGCCCAAACCTGAGAACCCAACACAAAGAGTCTCACAAGTCAGCAGTTTCCTAGAGCACAGTGGAGTAAAACGACAGCCAGGGAGGCTCCGGGACCCAGGCTGTTGGAGAGCCGGTTGCACCCAGCATCCAGCTCACTGACGGCTGGCTTGTAAATCTGGGCTCTGACAGATCTTACAAGATCTTACTTTCCCCTTGGCCCTATCATTCTTCTTGCCATGAGGAGCAGGGGGGGCAGGTTGTAGTGTCAGCGCCAGCGGCGCAGGACCTCCCTGCAGGAGGCCTGGGGTGGGCTCTCCCAGACGGGAGGTTCCAAGGCCCCAGAAGTATGCCCCTGGAAAGGAAAGGCTCAATCCTTGCCATTCCGTAGAACCTGGGGGATGCCATGCCTGGCACAAACCTCTCTGGCTTCCAATCCTAATGATGGGGCTTCTCTGATTTTCTGCCCTTCCATTTCAGATGGTCCTTTAGGTCCTCCTTAAAGGGGTCTGCCAGCCTCAGGCAGAATCCTGAACAGGCCTCCTCAAAACAGTTCAGTCTCTATGTGTCTGTATGTTGGTATGTGTCTGTCCCAAGCAGAGCCACAGATTAGACTTTTGGGGTTTAGGGAGGATTACCACTAGGAAGATGGATTCTGGGAGATTTTGCCCATGAGAACAAATAGGCTCTACTCAAGAGCCCTGTGTCCTTGAGGTCATCAGGCATGAGGAGTTTGCCGTTACCATCCTAAATTCCTCTAATCCCTAGTTTCTCGCACCACTGGCCTGAAGCTCTGTGTCGTCTACACAAAGGACCTTCTTTAAGAACATCTGGCTCCCCTTCTTCCCCGCAGGGAGGAGAGAGGCCACCTTCCTGTTGGGGCCGGCTAAAGAGGGTGCTAACTGCCGCACCCCTGTGACTTCAGCATGCTCTCCCCTCCCCCCACCCCCTGCAGACACCTTGGCTATGGCAAGGAGCTCTTCACAAATGATTAAAGGAGTGGAATGTGAGCAATCCCATGTTGGCAACCTCACAGAGAGTGCAGACCTCCTCAGCTAAGAGAACACAACATCTCCAAAGCTAGTGAGTCATTCCAAATTCTAAAAGCAATCAGAATCCATCTTAACAGATTTAGACTTCCGAGACAGGAAGAATTGTTAGACTGACAATAAAAGGACACTATTAATAATTACACTGTGACAATAGGGACAAACTAGGCCAGCACTGAGCCAACCGGGATATACCATCACAAAAGAGATTATGGGAACTGATGTCTGCTGTCTCAGAGGTGGCCCTCATTCCCCCCACCGCCCCCCAGCTGGTCAGAGAGCACGCTGGGGACGCTTGCTCCCGTGGGTGACCCCTGCTTGGAGCTCACTTCATTTCCTCCCAGGAAGTGCTGGTGAGGGCCCTAGGGGCCTCCTCATGACCTTTAACTTGTGCGTCCCCTTCATGCTGCCTGATCCTCCAGAAGCAAGGCCGCAGCTAGGAGACAGGACTCCTACCAACAGAACATGTTGTCCTGCATGCAGCTGATAGGCTCTGGGGTGCACTATGACTCAGGGTGAGGCCGGCCCTGCCCGGGGATGGTGGACCCGGCACTGAACTCCTATCAGCACCTGCCTCCTCCACCTGTGTACCGGCCACACCAGCTGCCCTGAATCCTTCCATGGGCCATGCACGGCTGCCAGGAACACTTACCCAGGCCCGGGCCGAAGTCCCAGCCTTTCACAACTCAGATCAAAGAGCTATCTAGGTGGTTCCTCCCCCGACACCCCAACTTTGTGCCTTCCCTAAGCCCTGGGCTCCTGAAATGTGTCTCAGTTATCGTGTGGGTGATTCTGATCAGCTCCAGCTTCTCTTCACCACCACACTTCTGAGCCCAGCACAGAACGGGCTCCCTGTGAGCACCTGCCTTGCCCGTGACCAGATCAAAGAACCGGAGATCACAGCTCCTCCCCGACACAGGTATATCCAAGGCTGACCCTGTTTTAGAAGCACAGCCTGGGGTTGTGGTGCTTCCTTCCGTGTGAAGAGCACTCCCTAGGCCCTCTTCAGGGGCCCCCTCTTTCTGGGCCTCTCAGAGGGTTGGAAGGAGAAGCTCTGAGGGTCAGAGACCATTCCTACCTAGAATGAAGGCCACCACATAGTTGGAGATCTGGCCCATGCCAACGATGACAAATAATATGGTAAACATCTCCCAGTTGATGGAGAAAATCTGCAGGAAGCTGAAGCCAGTCTGCACAGCCATGGTTGTGAAGAGGATGCTCTTCCTGCCAAACCTGTAGAACATAGCACAACACACGGTACACGCAGGCCACAGCAGCCGTAACTCAGGGCATGTGGCAAGCCCCGAGTCATGCATAGCTGTAGACTTTGTTTTATTCTGTTTTCAGGGCTGTGACAGACTTTTCTCCCTGTCTCATCCTCCTGAGCTCTTCCTTGGTGATGTCTCAGATGTCCATCGGCCCAGGGGGTGCCTTTTGAGATTCTAAAACTTCTGTAGAGGACCCATATCTCGAAAGCTCAAAGCAGCTCATGCAAGGTCCCTATAGAAACCTGCTCCTTGGAACAAGCCACAGGTAGAAGCTGCCACCACATTTCTAGAAAATGGGTAAGTACAGATTGCAGAGACATCTAATATCAGCAATATGGGAATTCTGTCAGTCCAGAACGAAGCTCCCCTCTGTGGCAGTGGTATTCAACCTTAGCTGCACTTGAAATCCCCTGGTGCCAAAAAATGCTGGGGCCAGCACCCCACCTCCTGAGATTCTCATTTTCTGGGATGCAGTTTGGGTAGTGGGATTTAAACAGTTTTCCCAGGTGAGTCTAACATGCAACCAAAATTGCAAGCAAGTCCTCTATAGGAAGTGTAGCTCTATGTAGTACCCATGACATGGCAGTTGGCCTAAGACTTCATTTCACTTTCTGATAGTGACCAGTGGGTAGAATGGAGCACAGGGGTGAGCAGAACAGTCTCCTACCTCATTTTCCAAAATCAAGTCTCAGGCTGTTGGGCTTGCGGTCCCTTGGGACTTTGTAACGGGAGGAGGGACAGGCACTCCTCTGGGAAGGCTTCCTAACACTGCTATTTAGCACTCCCACCTTTCTGCTCTGGTCCCCTTAGAACATTCGGGGGCCAGAAGGGCACTTCTCCTGGAGTTGTGGTGCTGTCTCCTCTAGAGACTCTGTATTCTAGGAGGCCCACAACAAACATGGGTCAGCTCTGTGGCCCTGGTGTCCGGCCAGGGGCCCAGCCCCCAGCAGCGATGTGGGTGCTTGCTGTCTGGCCCTTACTCTGTCTGATGGCTGTTTGTGGACAGATCCCCCATCATCTAAGAGTTAGGGGTAGGATGGGGAGGCAGTGGCGATGTTCTTTTGAGAGGTTTGGTGCTATAAGGACCAGTTTCCAGTGGGGCCATAGCCTCCCCCCGACCCTCCGCCTAAGCCCTGACAGCGCAAGGCTGGGAGAACTGAACAAAAGAGGGTTCCAGCAAAGGGTTGAGGGAACAGAAATCATGAGACATCATGGCTCCTCCTTTCACTGACTTGTTGGTATGAGGGGTCCCTCTTTCTCTGGGTAGATATACCTTCAATTCAGTCTAACCCCAAGATAGGCAGTGAATTGACAAGGGGCCCTGTTGCACCTCTTCTCCCTCCCAGCCTCCTTACCTGTCAGACAGCTGCCCAGACACGAAGGAGCCAAGGAGCACGCCCACGAAGAACAGGGAGGAGGTGAGGGGCGTCTTCCAATCATCCTCACACACTAGACTCCACTGCCAGAGAAGACAACATGAAGTGTGAGCCCGGCCCTCCAGGAGACCCAGCCCCAGGCCAGCGCTGAGGGAGTATTCGCATGGCAGCTGGAACAGGCTCTCTCCTCCTTGTGACAGGCTGTTGACTTGATGCTAAGAGCATAGACCTCACAGCCCTGGCGTTGGCTCCTCACTCTGCCACTTACTGGGGCAAGTCACTGTCCTCCCTGAGACCCACCCTCCTCTTCTGAGGGAAAGGGAGAGTGATACCTCAGCTCTCTGCTTGCATCACATATTGAGAAGCTAGCTGGGGCCATGGCTGTGACTGGTGACCCCTTAGCTGTGAAGCAGTCTGAGCCAAGGTAGTATTTCTGCTTCAGAAGGCATCTGAGCATGGAGGGAAGGTGTTTGAAACTCCCCAGGGGCAGGGCAGGAGGCCTAGTCACTTGGTCCAGGCATAGAAGTTTCCTCTGCCTTGGTGAAAAGTGCAAGTGGTCTGTGATGGTATCTTCTGAGCAGACGTCTCCAGAAAAAACTCTTCTCCCTGCTCTATTCACACCGTAGGCCAAGCCTAGGGCCTGAATTCAGGGCCCACTGTGTGGCGGGGGTGGGGTATCTAGACCTCTCCAGCGCTCTTTATCTGCCTCCAAACTCCTCCACACTCCTTCCCACCCAGCCTTCCCAGAAGGGTGGTTCCTCCTGTTGCCCAAGGCCTGTGGGTTGTGGTGGCCCTAACAAGTCCCTGCTGGTGGATCCATAAAATGAGGGCTTCAGCAAAAACTTCAGTTCTCAGCTCTTCAATTAAGTCAAGTCAGCAAAATCTCAAGGGAGGTTGCAAAAATTTCAAAGTGTGTTCAGTGAGCTTTCATTATATATATATATATAATATATGCAGATATATATATATATATAAAATATATATATATATATATATATATATATATATATATATACACACACACACACACAGGTACCAATAAATATTCTGGGGGCTGCGGATCAGGAGATTGCTGTGTGTAGCGAGATGATCCAGTCTAGAGGAAAAAGCCCCTGCCTTCTGCCCAGTCCCACCTGCACTGAGCGGTGGTGCTGCTTCTATAACACTCATGAAGCAATTCAGTCCTTAATTCTCACAACTTCCCTGAAATAGATTTAAAAATGAATTCGCATGTTCATATCACACCTCACTCTCGCAGAGAGAGCTGTTTGTAAGGACACAGACCAGAGAAAAGTATAAAACAAAACGCTAAGGAATGAGGGCAAAACAGCACTGCGAGGGATCGCAAAATAAGCGAGCCAAGGGTAAAACCGACAACCAGTCGTCCTGCCTAGGGGCCTGCCTGCTTGCCGGGCTCCCAGGATTCCAGCGGCTCAGCACGCACCATCCCTGTTTTATGCAAAGTGTTAAAATTGTTCTGCAGAAGCTAGTTTTTCTAAGTACTCGGACCTGAGAGAAGTCTCTCCTGCATAGTTCCTTCCACAAAGGGGTCACGCCATGATGTTGAGGATAATGTCCTTGAGAACACCCCTGTCTGAAAGACAATAACAAGATTCATGAGGCTGCCTCTCCTGACACCCGCCACGCTGGCTATAGGCAGAATGCTGAAGCACAGCTCTGCAGAGGAAAAACAAAGCCGGCCGGGAACTCCGAGCTCTCTGCTCCTCAGACACAATCAGGATGCATCTGAGACCGCACCCGGAGTACGGTTGCTTCAACTGGGGTTCCTGAATGGGCTTCGGGGGAAAGGGCACAAACCCTCCAAAACTGTATGCCCGGATTCATGTGCCCTGCCGCACATGGGTCAGAGGGCATAGACAGGACATGCGCCTGAACTAATGGCCACACCCACTTCCAAAAATCACTGGCCAAAGTGTCAGAAAAGAGCTTGGAATCTGCACCAGCACACAGAGATTAGCAACTGAGACTCCAAAGCCTCATAACATGTTGTTTTGCCTGTTTTGTATGAGAGTAAACTGAGGCTCAGGCACTCGGGCAGCTCAGTTGATTGAGCATTGGACTCTTCGTTTTGGCTCAGGTCATGATCTCAGGGTTGTGGGACTGGAGCCCTGCATCAGCCTCTGTGCTGGGCATGGAGCCTGCTTGGGATTCTCTCTCCCTCTCCCTCTGCCCCTCCCCCCGCACTCATGTTCTCTCTCTCTCAAATAAATAAATAAATCTAAAAAAAAAAAAAAGACTAAACTGAGGCTCTGAGACTAGTGTTTGTCTGAAGTCATAGCAAGTACATAGGCTTGCTAGGTACCAACTCAGGCGTCAGAACTCAATCTTTACCCATATTATGCTTTGGGCAAGAACTCTAAAAGTCAGACAAATGAGCTTATTAAATACCATCCGCTACAAGGAAGATGCTAGGACTAGGGGTGAAAAACCTTTTCCACAGCCTTTAGCACTGGACAGAGCTGAGAAAATCTCACACGTGGTAGGGGTATCCATGTGTCTATTATCCACTATCACCATTCCATCTGCAGTCAAGCAGAAAAGCTCTTTCAAAGAGAATGTGTTTTCCTTTGTGGTTTTTTTGAGTATTTTTTTCTGTCAGGATTTTGCCTTAGAGTAGGATAAATAAGACTTAAAGACAGAAAGGAAAGAGGAAGACTGTCAGATGTGGAGGCAGGGATTACATGGCAAGGGTAGTGAGCAAGACTGGCTACTTAATTTGCAGGCCCAGTGCAATGTGAAAATGCAAGACCCCTCGTTCAAAAATTATGAAGAATTTCAGGACATCAATAGCAGAGCATTACAACCAAGGGTGAGGGCCTGTGTGGCTGCACAGTTTGCATTCCCATAGGGATGGCCCGGTAGTGGATCGAGCATGGTGTCTTTGGAGAACGGAGCAGGGCAAGTTCTGAAGCGGGATGCTGGGAAGGATGAGGTGTGGGCCAGCTCCCCATCGCTCCCCTGCTGGAGCCTATGCAGCCATGGCTCTATGTCCCTCTTCCTCCCTGAAGTGGGCCCCAGAAGGCCCCTATCAGCATCATGTGGCACAGGAGATAGCCATGTGAAGTCACCTATCCTAGGCCCATGTAGGGTGCTGTCCAGTTTTGGAAATCCTGCTCATACCCAACAAGGGAAGGCAGCTGACGGCATGGCTACCCATGGTTGGTTCCAAGGTTGGGCCCTCTCTTGAGGAATTACTGTGCCCAAAGAATCTTGTTGGAAAGCTGCAAAGGACCTAGGAATAGGACACAGGATTGGCAGACAAAATTCCAGCTGTAATTCCAGGAGTCTGATAAATCAGCTGCCAGCCTGAAGAAGGGCCCTTTCCTCCATGGGGTTATTCTAGTAAAGGCCAGGCCCTACCTGTGACCTGCCCCTTGGGATTTGAGGGGTGTGTCTTGGGGCCCCACTAGCCAGAGCCCAGAGAACTCCCTGTGGCTCACAATGACATTGTAGACCCGGTAGAAGACAGTCTTTTTTATAAGACAGAAGTGTCCCTTGGGTCTCTGCATATATGCGTACACACATGTACGCACAAACATCCGTGCATGTGGCTTGCTCAGAGGCTTGTGGTGGACAGTCTGGTGACGAGCTGGCTGGTATTGCTCTGCAGCTGTGCTTTCAGATCAAGTGCTAACATTTCTAAAACCTCATCCCCCCCCACCCACACACACTGGGAGAGTGGATTGTGGGAATTAATTGGCCCCAAGCTGTGCAGGGTGGGAGCACTGGATATGCCTTCCCGGGGTTACTGTGTCTGTCTTATCCTCAGGGTCTTAGACCAACATTCCATAACACAGCAGAGGGAGCTCTTTGTGCAACAAAAATTGCACAAGGGCCATCTGGGCTTCGGCTTCGCTTTAAGAAACAAAAACCCAGGTCACAAGGTAATAGAAGACAGGAGGTCACCCTCAGCACAGAAGAGAATGCATCTCATGCCACTTAGCAGTAATAACAGAAATGATAACTACAGAATGTTGGGTGCTTACTGTGTGCCTTGTATTATCTCATGGGATCTCAAGGTTGCCATGTGAAATGGGTACTCTCTTTATCCCTATTTCACAAATGAGGAAATGAAGCAACCAGCCCAAGTTCTAGTGGATTGGTAAAAGGAATGCTTATTTATTCAACCATCATTGAGCACCTGCTCTGGGCCAGACTCTGTGTGGGGCACAAAACAGACATGGTTGCTACCTCTACAAAGCTCAAGGTCAAGCATACTTTACAGGACAGATCAGGTGTGCATATGTGCATGCATGAGCCCAGCTGTCCTGGGCGGAGCGGGCTCTGTTCTAGGCCACTGTGCCCTTGCTCTCTGGCTAGAGAGGAAAAGAGGCACCCCCTCCTCATCGTCTTCCACATGGACAGAATTCTAAAACCTGAACTCATTTTAGATAACTAATGCTTGCACAAGGCTAGGCGCGTGGTGGATTCTTCACAAATTGTTGATGCATGAGCGCTGAATGCTGAACGATTAGGTGTAATGGAAAATGAGTTTGGGAAATGCGAGGTATCACATACTGTCCTTTGAAAATCACCCACGACCTTGAACTCTCCAAGTAGCCAGCCTAGCAGTTTTAGTCTTTACCAAAGCCATCGAAGGACCATAACGGTAAGATCATCCCTGTGATCTCCTTAGAACTGAGACCTCCAGAAGGCAGCCTGTTGTTGAATAAAGAACAGAGGTTCTTTTGGGCTCTGCCACTTTCTGGCCGTGTGACTTTAGGCACTCATCCACCTGAATCGGCCTCCTTTTTCATCTTCAAAGATGGGACAATAAGACCCCCTCCTGGGTGGGGCGCCTGGGTGGCGTGGTGGCTCAGCTCATGATCGAGCCTCACTTCGGGCTCCCTGATCCATGGGGAGCCTGCTTCTCCCTCTCCCTCTGCCTGCCGTTCCCCCTGCTTGTGCTCTCTCTCTCTGTCGAATAAATAAATAAAATCTTAAAAAAAAAAAAAGCCCCTCCTGGGGTTGTGAGCACAGGACAGGAAATATAAGTGGAGTGTTGGACACAGTGTCTAACACATTTCAGGCCTCATGAAATGGTAGTCCCCTCTCCACGGAG